CTTGAGCACTAGTTTGATAGTCTCCATTTTAGGAGACCTATTTCACCAGCAGGCCCGTTACTCTCCATGACTAACTATGTTATAATGGAATAAATTGCTTTTCTACATAAAAAATTTTTAAAAAATAAAATTACTTTGAGACAATTTCCCAATAAGTTACTAAATTACCCAGGCTGAACTCTAACCAAGCATCCTCCTGCCTTTGCCTCCCAGGATGATGCAATTGTAGGTGTGCGCCACGATGCTCAGCTCCGTTAAAATATTCTGTGCAGGGGAATAAGGCAATTCGATTTGTGTTTCAGATAATTTGCTTTAGCTGGGAACAGGTGAAATTACATTATCTAGGGAGACATTACGGTAACTTTGTCCAGTGTTGCCGTCCTTGTGAGAATCGAAACGCACCTGCAGAACCGTTCCTGGAGCACTGCGTGTGATGGACTCTGCGCGTGAATAAGCGATAACTGCAAGTGGCGACATGTGATCAGCTCTCCTGTCACAGAAACGCAATACCTGACGCAGCTGAAAGGAGGGGAGGTTTTTGGCTCACAGTTTAAGGGATTCACTCCATGGTATTCAGCTCTGAGACAGAAACATCAGGACCGAAGGGCAGTGGAGTAAAGACATCTAGTTCATGGTGTTCAGGAAACAGCAGGGGAATAGGACGGGGGAGGAAGGGGTCCGGGAACAAACACAGTGCCCAGTCCCTCCTCCAGGACCCACCTAGGCACACCCAGCAGTGTGCTCCGGTGTGCTTGTCTAATCCCTGGGGCGTTTCGTAATCCAGGCAAGTTGATATATCACAATTAACATCACAGACATCAGAGAGGATGTGTCTCGTAAACATTGTGCTACAAAAAGAAACTGAAAAAAGTACAAACGGAGCCAGCCATCATGGCACATGCCTGTAACCCCAGTACTCTGGAAGACTGAAGCAGAAGGATCCCAAAGACAAGCCCAGCCTGGGCAAATCAGTGCCTTAGGGAGACCATGTCTCAAGATGAAAAGTGAAATAAAGGGCTTGAATTGTAGCTCAGTGCAAAGGTCCTGTGTTTAATTCCCAGTCTGGTGAATCGACAACTGCTAGCCAACTTGTACCATCCAGCTGAACTCTGCCAATGTGGTTCTGGGTGTGGGAGGCTTACCCAGAGATTGTTGCCAACAAAATAAAAAGAACTGGAGAAGTAGAGAAGCTGTTGGGAGCTGTTGGTTCTCCCGGAGGAGCTTGTCAGGCTGGCTTTCCTGATATGAACTCAGCTGATCTCATTGTCAGAGGACCTCAGGCTCTTACTGTCACTGAGAATGGCTATGGTTCACTTTGGGGGAGTCCTGGTCCTTACTTTGAGCATCGCATCCTAGCTCGGAGGGGAAGATGGTGCACTGTTCAGTGTCCTGGAGAAGCTTGTCGCACTGGCCATCCTGATAAAGACTCGGCTGTTCTCATCATCGGAGGAGCTCAAGACCTCATTGCCACTGAGGATGGCTGTTGTACCTTTCAGGGGAGCTCTGGTTCTTTGAGTGTTGTTTCCTGGTTCCAGTGCAGATCTCTCAGCCTGCTGGCACAGATCCTTCATCCCGCCGGCACAGACTTCCTAGCTTCCACCACTGTCCTTTGGGCCTTCCCAGCACAGATCTGTCAAACAGTCCTGCAGGAGACGTTGTGGGCTCTAGGCCTCTGGGTGAACTCATTGGGGGCATTGTTATGGGCCCTAAGACTTCAGCTGGACTCATGCAGGACATTGCCGTGGGATCCAGGCCCTCAGCTGGATTCTTTGGGTCTTTAGTGTGTGGACAGGTTTCCTGCACTCTCTCTTGTATGTGATTCTTTGGGTGACTATTATAAAATAATCCTGTAAAACACACACACACACACACACACACACACACACACACACACACACACATACACACACACATAGAAAAGAAAGAAGAAAAAGAAACTACCTTTGTCTGGTTCAACAGCAGAGGTAGCTGATACCCAATCTACAGTGCCACTGATTATAACACGCACCATTATTTGATGTTCCTTTTTTCCAGTAACGGAGATTAAAGCACAGGCATGTGTTCCACTGGGCTAACTTGCCAGCTCTTTCCTTCTGTCTGTCTTTCTTTCCTTCCTTCCTCCCTCCCTTCCTTCCTTCCCTCCCTCCCTTCCTTTTTACTTCCTTTTTTTTTGTGACAGAGTCCCAGTAAGTTGCCAGGCCAGCTTCAAATGTGTGATCCTCCCTCAGCCTCCAGAATAGGTGGGATTACAAACACTGCGCATATAGCCATGCCCAGCTGAATTACTCTATGTTCTACTAAGAAGAAAAGTGCCGCCGACTAAGCTATGTCAAGTGTTGCAGTTTAGATCTAAAATGACCCCCAGAATTGTCCTGTGCGTGGAAGGTGACTGGGTCACAGGGGTAGTACACTCACCAGCGGATTCATCCACTGACAAGCTCAGCCTAGGTGTGCTGCTAGGAGGCAGGGCCAGGCGGTTGTAAGCGGCTGTGGGTGTGACCTGGAAGGGAATACGCTGGTCACCGCCTCCTGTTTCCTGGTTGCCATGGTTGAACACTTACGTCTTTGTCCTGTCCCGCTGCCATCCTGCTCCTGCCTTGGAGCCAGCTGATCACAGACTGAAACCAGGAGCCCAATAAACCTCTCCTCCTTAGGCTGTGAGTGTCAGCTACTGCGCCCAGTGATGAGGAAGCTGAGCAAGAGAAGTCATCCATTACATGCACGACCCTGCTCCAAATACGCTAAGAGGGAAGGGCTGTGTGTGCCTCCACGCGAGCGGCTGCCCGCATGCACAAGACCCCAGGCTCCATCCTCCAACCGTACATATGAAAGGAAATGCTACGATGTGAAAAGCACAGCTTCTTAGGTCTGACAAAAAGAGGTGTTATCAGAGATTCATAAAGCATGGCACAGCTTGTGGAAAAGTAACAGAAATATCACAGAAATCAGGATAATGCCTACTTCTTGGAAAGTTGGCTTTGTCATCCAGAAGGTCACACACTGCCAGGGATGGTGCTGCTTACCTGCATTCTTAGCTATTCGAGAGGCTGAGGCAGGGCAATAGAAATTTTGATATCAGCCTGGACAACTTAAAGAGATCCTGTCTTAGAATAAAAAGGGCCACATATGTAGCTTGGTTGTACAGGGCTCGTCTAGCATACCCAAGGGTGGGTTCAATCCAATACCACAAAAGGCGGACACACAGGACAGAGGTTTCTGGAGAACAGAAGTGCTTTTTCTCTGTGTGCATACTTATTTCTGTGGTACTAGAGACTGAACGCAGGGCCTTCACACTGAGCTACATCCCCAAAGCTTCTTTTTTTTCCAGACAAGGTTTTACTAAGTTTTCTCCTGGGCCCAAACTTTTGATTCTCCTACTTCGGCCTCCCGGAGTGCCGGGATCTCAGGTCTCCACTGCCACGCCCGGCTGCAAAAGTGTTTCAGTTCTTCACCCAGAGAATCATTTATGATTATTCTTCAGACCGTGTTGGCAAATTTTGTTTGCTTTTCTAGGTCCTGATTTCCCAATTTAGCAGGGCCTGCCTTATTTTAAGAACAGCCTAGCTGGGCATGTCAGCACATGCTCGTAATCCCTGCTACTCAAAAGGATAAAGCAGGAGGACTGCAAGAGCCTTATACATTCATAGGCAGGACTTTTAAAAGGTAAGTGAGGCCGGGCATGGTGGCGTGCTCCTGTAATCCCAGCACTTGGGAGGCTGAGGCAGAAGAATCGCCATGAGTTCAAGGCCAGCCTAGGCTCCATAGTGAGTTCAAGGCTAGCCTGAACTACACAGCGAGACTTGTCTCATAAAAACAGTGAGTGAACCACGGAGGGGAGGGCTTCTACAGCCTCCTAGCTGTGAGAAGCTGGGGCTTGTTTAGGGAAGGTCCCGGCCAGCGGGATCTGGAAGGGAGCCTCTCCCTTCTCGGCTCCTCCCTTTTCTCTCTGCTTCCTGGCTGCCACGGAGTAACCAGCTTTTCCTCGGGCACACCTCTGCGCGGTGCCATCTCCTGCCTGTTGGGAAGTTTTAAGAAAGCGCTCTAGGAGACCAAGGACATAACGTGCAGGCGTTCATGTTTGACCCTGGTCCGTCTGTTGGATATAGAACCGAACAATGGTTTTCCTCTTGTCACTGGTCTCTATGGTAACCTCTGTGTTCTGTATTTCTACTTGTTCCCCGCATGATTTGCGGGGTGGGTTGTCTGGCTGGTTGGGTTTCTGGTTTTTGTTTTGTTGTGTGTTTGCTGTTGTTTGTGAGACCAAGAACTGACCACAGGGACACACCAACGCGACACACCCACCATGACGGGAGACCATGACACCAGACACGCCCACCTGACACGCCCCTCTGCCTTGGAGCCAACTGACCGCGGACGCTACCCCTGAGCCAGAATAAAGTTCTCCTTCCGGTTGTGGGCATCCGGTATTGGGTCTCACGACAAGAAAGTGACCGACACAGGCACTAAGCACGGAGCCGGGCATGCAGTGCGACTCAGAACAGATATTTTGAATAAGTGGGAATGATGTCTACCACAGACCCCAGGTATTAGAAATAAGGGCCAGCCACACAAAGTTCTTTGCCCACGGGGCACTGCCCACTCCTGCTCTGGAGCTCGCACGATGCCTGACAAGGACATAAGATGGTACAGCTCAGTCAGAGAGACTGAATAACGGGAGGCAAAAATTAGGTGTGAAGCCAGCATGGCGGTGCACTCCTGTAATCCCAGCACTCGGGAGGCTGAGGCAGGAGGATCGTTGTGAGTTGGAGACCAGCCTGGACTACAAAGTGAGCTCCAGGCCAGCCTGAACTGCATAACAAGACCCTGTCTCAAAAAGAC